AATAACATTCCTATAGCCAATTTTAGGTCAATATATTCAATAGTTACTGAGATAGAACAAATTATCAAAGATTCTTAAGAAGAAAAGGATCAACGCATCTATATTTAACTGTTCATTTTTACTCTAGGCTGATTTAGAAAGATCATATCACATAAAAAAAAAATTTTTTTTTTCATTTTATAGAAATAGAGAAAATGAGGTAACGGTTTTATGACCACCGCAGCCGTACGCTACCCATGTAACCACTAGTATTTCGCATATTTACTTATTCTCACTCCCTATTTATTCTAATCAACTACCTGAACATGAAAAGTCATGATTGAAATTTTTTAAAACAGTAACTCCGCTCTCAAGGTATAATATTATTCAGCTAAATTTCAAAATGTTGCTGCTTCTCTATTTTAATGGGTGGAAGAAAAAATGTACATACGTAAAAGGGGCAGAATCTGTGGTACATCAAAAGGTAATGAAATTTGAGTATTGTTCGCCATAACATTTTCAAAAATACCAACCAATAATAATTTCATTTCTAAGAAACATGGATCGAGTTCCATTCGGAAGCATACTACCAATGGAATTGGTAGAAACTAAAATTGAAGAAAAAAAATGTACACAAAAAGAAACAGCCATGAGTGCTTGTTTTTTGTCCGTATAGATTAATGATTCGAAACCATATAGTAGCCTGGAATTTTCAATAATTTCACTCAGGATTTTCAAATATAGTCGCTGAATCTTTATGATTTTGGCTCTGCTTTTCTGATTGCCAAAATAAGCAGATGCAGTGCTATGTGACTCTTGAGATAAATTTCTCGATTGAAGTTTTTCTTTGGTGAATGGTAGATGATGATATAAATCGGGAATTTGGTTCCAGGACTGATAAACACAAAGACAACTCGATAATTGAACACACAACAATTCATCACACAGACAACTGAACACAAATGAATTTAACACGAAAGCTATTCAACACAGAAAATTTCACACATATTATAGTATATTATGTCATTAGGACCGTAGACGGAGGTTTGCGATGAGTGTCAAGTTAGCACGAGGCGTCGGTGCCTTACCCACTGCCGAGTGCTGCTAACTCACACGAATCGCAAACCGACGTCACGGTCCGTATGACATATACTATTTTTTGTCACGATGGCCCGATGAGGGGGAGGGGGTGGAGTGGGAGCGCAACAGCGGGGTCCAGGGGCCGCAGGCCCCGGTGGGGGGGCTC